ATATATTATATATCAACAAGTGAAAAAGATTCGATGATTGAACATTCATGTGATCAAACTCTAAAATAATTTTTAAAACCTCACCTTTAATGCCATTTTGGTTAAATGTTCGGCAAGACTATCCAGCAATCGCTAAAATAACACTTGGAAACTTGATAGGCTGTCATTTGAAAACCCATCAATGTGAACGAGCTTTTTCTATCTTAATTTTTTTTAAAAATAAATATAGGAATAAACTGAATGTTAAGAGTGATTTTAGGCTTAAACTATGCAATTTTTATCCAGTTAATCTAGATACTGATTCTCTTGTGCAGGACAAGCAACGTCAAAAATCACACTAAATTGTTTAAATCTTGAATAATCAGGTTTTTTTTTCGATCTTATATTCGTATACAATAAAATAAAATTTGCGAAATTTTGAATACACAGTTTCAATCGGGAGATTTTAATCTTTTATCGGGATGTCGGGGCATAGAGCTCAGTAATGTTGACAGTCCTGATATATCGGAACGGATGGCAATCCTAAACATAAGCCATCAACCCTGTTCTTCAGGTTTTTATTTCTATACCCAAACATTCGCATCAATTAAAGTTTTACTGTTTAACAAGAGACAATAAATTATCATATAATGGAGAAACATCTATTGACAAAAGTTTAATTAAAATTATCGTGAATGATTATCAACCACTTTCATTGGTTAAAAAGACAGGTTTTTTAGAATTCACTAAAATTTAATTAAATTAAATTGTTTGATAAATATTTATGAAAATAAAATTATTTTTGGCAATTATGTAATATTTTACTTTTCGATAAATTTATAACACGCAATTTTTTCGAGTAACTCGATTAGCTTACTTTTGGTGAATATTTCTAATACCTTTATTTTGATTGTTAAAATCATTCAACTATTCCCATCACTAGTTATTATTATAGTAATAATCAATATCATGGAAAAATACTGAATTTTAATGAATTCGTCAATCGTTCGTAAACTTCCGATTTGAAATTTTGTACTCGTTTTGATATAATTTGCTTATTGTACATAATTTTTCAATGTTTACGGTCCTCACTACTACATCTGCTTACGTCGCAGATATTGTTGTTAAATATTGTTATCGCATGTTATATAAAACGACTACCGGCTACCATCATAGGCGTAACTAGGGGGGGACTTGGGGGTTAATTCCCCCCAGACTTAGCCCCCTTGTCATAATTCTTAGTCTTGCTAACGAAGGCTACATTTTTAATTTTAATTTAAAATATCGTTTTATTTTTTTTATTAATATCTTGGAAAAATATTTACTTTTTTTGGTTATACGTATCATTGTAATACGATGATTGTATATAAGGTTTTACTACATTATATTCGGGTTTGGTAAATTGCGTCCTATTTTATTAAAAAAGGTAAATTGAGTCCCTCATATAAAAATGAAATCGGTAAATTGAGTCTCTCGTATAAAAATTAAAGCGATAATTTGAAATATGGTGAAATGCTGTTTTTTTTATTTAACACACTTAATTATATTAACACCATGGATCAATGTACGATTCTTGGCTTAAGATTTTCACCTAGGTACTCATATTTTTAAAGACTTTCAAAAAGCTACACACTATACCATTAGCAATTAATATTAAAGGTTGTCGTTTTTATCTTGGACAAAGTTAGTGGAAAAAATACAATGTCTAGGTATAAATACAAATTATAAAAAACAAAATTCAGACGAAAGTAATTTTTTAAAATTATTTTTTGGCTTATCATTTTTAAGTCCTAAAGATGTTTATGATTGTTTCATTGAAGATATTCTGCCAAAATTTCCTTTAAATGAAAATATAAAATTGTTCGTCGATTATATTATTAAAACATATATTGCACCAGATTGTACATTCCTGCCTTATGTTTGGGCTGAATTTTCGACAACAGCAAATCGTACAATAAATAGTTGTGAATCATTTCACTCAAAACTAAATAGTTTATTTTATACTGCACATCCAAATATTTATATTTTTATTGATGCACTCAAAGAAATCCAATCAAATAAGAAGCAAAGACATGAGTAAAAAGTCAAAACACAACATTGAAAAAGAAAATATATTAAGAGAACAAATGACGATGTACAAAAATAATAAAATTAGTAGCTTGACTTTATTAAGGTTGTGTCATTAAAATATTTACCTGTTAAATATTTTTATATTATTTTTATTATTTTTTTATATTATTATTTATTGTTAATTTACCGCATTAAATATTTTATACGAAACTCAATTTACCACTTTATTTAACTGTTATACGAGAGACTTAGTTTACCTCTTTAAATTTTATACGTGGGACTCAGTTCACCATTTTCAATATTATTATTGGGACTCAGTTTACCTATTTCGAAAAAAGATAAATTCGTTTGGGACTCAATTTAACTACGCCCTTAATATTACTTAGAAATAATTAATAAATTTAACAGAAAAATAATCGTAAAACACGTACGATTATTAATAACTTTTTAGTAATAACGATTAACGAGTAACGAAATATTAATGAAACTGACTTAAAATCAGAAATTTTGGTTGCAAAAAATTATTAAGACAATCAATTAAAACATTAACAATCAGGAACAGCTAAAGCTGCTAAAGAGTATCGTAGAAAAATCTGTTTTCCCAAATTTATACAAAATGCTACATTTAGCGCTTGCAGTTCCAACAAGTTCCTCATCTGGTGAAAGAACATTCTCAGCAACTCGTCGAATAAACAACTACATAAGCATTGGCTCACACACGGGGAGGTCTGGGGTGTCGACTGATACCCCTCAGAGCATTGGCGGATGACTAGTTCTGTGTGAACTTGTATGAATATTTGTTTAATTTAATACTAACTAATTTTTCATCTATCCAAAAAATAATTAGTATAAGGTTTATTTTAAAAAATTTTATTTTTAGTATCTTTGTGAGAAAGAAAAAACGTGTAGTGTATTTCATACACGATAAAAAACATAATGTGTTTTGATTTGCTTTCCGCCCGACTTCAACATGTAGCGGTAGATCGGCGATTTTAGTGATGTTAAACTGTGAAAATAGCATTCATACTTATTAACAGTTTGTCCTGTGATAGTAGTATAATTAGTGCCATATTTATGCAAGGACATTGTGCGTATTTGTCTAGGGTCTCTCAGGGGCCCACCTACTGAATTTAATTATTCTTTTAATTTCAATTAATCCTTAATATTTCTAGTCTAATTATATGTAAAAATTATAAAAATATAATAATTACTCCTTCTGACCAAATTAAATGTATTAAAAATATGTAAATATCTCATACGTTTCAAAATGTAGAAACATGTTTGTATATATTTTTGACGATACCAGTAATTAATTGTACCGGTGAAAGATCTTTTTTAGTTCTCAAAAGAAATAAAAACAGATTAAGATCATCTCTGGGTAAAGAAATGTTGGATGCCCTAGGAATCTTATCCAATAAAAATTACATCACTGCAAGCATTAATTTCAATGAAGTTATTGATGCATTTGCTCAAAAAAAGGCTGGACAATTTTTTTTTTAAAATTATTAAGATTGTGTAAAAAAGTACCTACATTCTAATATTGTTTTATTTACTATTAAGTATTGATTGGTTATTATATTTACTAATTATAATTTAATTTATAATTCATAACATTTTTTTTTTTTTATTGACCTATATTTTTATGTTATGCTATTGTGGCATAAAGTTTATAGAACTTAAAATTATTTCTTATGTATCAAGCAATAGGAAAAAATAAATGGGATATGTATGCAAATTGTAAGTGCATATAAAATATTTTCGCCCCCCCCCTTGTGGCTTCTCAAGAACTGTAAAAATGTCTCAAACCGCCACTGTGTTGGACATTCTTCTATTTTTGATCAATCCATATTTTTAAAGAGAAAACCAAAATGTTTTCTAATTTTTTGTTAGTACTGTTTCTTTTCCAATTTTTTTAATTCATCACATTACATAATGAATGTTGTAAAATAAATATGAATACTAAAAATTGGATTTTTTTTTGGTAAAGAATGGAAATGAGGTCCTAATATTTTGGAGGCTCAGTGCTTGTTAGAAATTTTTCATATTATTCAATTGATAAATGAAAAGTTCAGAATTCTTAAAATTAATGATCAATCAAAATAATTGAATAATTTTTTTTTGGCAAATATGAATATTTATTTATTTTTATGTAGATTTGGGGGCCCTCTTTTCCACCCAATTGAATCAACAACTGTTGTTTTGAAGTCATTTATTGTTATTGATCTTGACAGTTTTGTTCATAATTTGATTTTCATTCTTTTAATTCGTTCAAATGGCTATTGTGTTTTATTATTAATATTTTAATTACGTACTGAATATATATTAATATAAATTACAATTGTTATTTTAATTTTTCATGTATTAATAATGGCTAGTTATAAACTTGTACCATTAGCTGGTGTTTGGATTGATACATCAATATCGATATTCATTTTTTTTCTATATTATTATTAAATATTGCGAAAAATCAAACAATATCAATTAAAAAAAAAAAAGTTTTCAGGGAAGCCTAATAATTAAAATAACTAAAAATTAATTTTACTTTACTGAGTATACTCTTTACTGATTTACTGAAGGATGAGAAAAAGTGCTTAAGAATTAATTAATCTCTGCACAATAATTTGACTATATTAACTGATTTGTAAACTGAATATATAATTTATATAAATATTCATAAATTATTTATCAGATTTCTTCACCTGAACCATATTTACGTATACATAAATTAATAGTGTTATAACAAAACTTTTGAATGTACTGGTAAGTGTTTCATTGGTTGCCAAGGGGATAACCATACTTGTGTTCATTAGATTTTACATTATGCAGTTATTCAATAGATCTCTTGCAAACAATAATGAACATATATTAATAGTTTTAAAAGAAATATAATTTTACTTCATGAAACAATAATTTTAATCTTGGAATTACCTATCAATAAAAAAATCATAAAATGTACTTGGACATTAATATATTATTTCATACATTATACTAAACAAACAATAGTACTAAAAAAATTTATATTAATCATCCTTCTTTAAGCCTCCCTCGACTTCTGGATTATACTTAAAAGTCTTAACTGGCAAAGCATTATTGGATTGTCTGAAATTCATATGATCTAAACGCTCCATTTTTTCAATTTCTTTTATGATTTGTGCATTTTTCCAGGCTAATAAAAATTCAAAAATGGTTTAAAAATTTGTAAATACATTTAAAATAATTCAAATAAAATTACTTACACTTTTTAAGCTCACCAACATTTTCTGCATACACTTTTTGTGATTGTTCAACTTTCTCTATTACATCAATATTAAAATATTTTCTTACACTAGGTATTTTAAAAAACAATACTTGTCCTAGTGAAATAAAATTAGTAGATGCCCAATATATACACACTGCCTAAAATAAAAAATATGATTATTTATGGTATATGATATGAGATATGAGATGATATATGTATTATGTAAATATATGAATATTAGTGTATTAATAATAAATAAATTTGATACAAAAAATAAAGCTAATATTCATACTTATTAAATACTTGAAATTCTATCTAAAAATGGTCCTTTTTATAAATGGATTAACATTTAGATTGCTCACTTTTATACATTTGAGAAAATAAAAAAAAGGTAAGAAAATATATAATATAAAAATTCAGCAGCTTCATATAAGGTTCAAACCTTCATGTTGATCATTGGCACCATGTTATAATGAAAACTGAGTTTTCCAACAGACACTAAGTAGAATAAGAACAGGAATAGGAAAAACTAAAGCCAATTGAATGAAAAAGAATTTTATTCTAGTATAGAAAATAACAAACAATATAACACATCATACATACTCACTATGTCCTCATAATTGTACCCCAGAGGACTTTTAAGAGCTACTTCCAAGGGAACTGAACATACTTCCTTTTGGGTCGAAGAAATATAAACCATTATTTATACTTTATAATATACTATTTTAAATAGTATAATAATATTGCACAATAATATGAAATATGAAACAGTTATATAAAGAACCAGACATAGAAGCAGTATTCAAATATAGAAGAATGGGCTGGTCATGTATGGAGGTCAAATAGTCTAATGAAAGTGGTATTAAAATGAAAAGCTTGTGGATAAAGACCACAAACTAAAACAAAGGTGAAATGATAAAGTGGAGAAGAATTTAGCAGAGATTGAAATACGAGATGGAGAAACAATAGCGCGACATAGAGACAGATGGAAGCAAGTCTGTGTTGGGGTAATTGGCCTTAATGGCCTTTAAAACTGAAAAAGAAGTTTATACTATTTTTTTTATATTACATTCATGATATGTTTTAATACTATATCAATATTGTACATACTAACATGATGAAAAAAAGAAATTGAATCATTATTATTTATGTTACTTACACATGGAAAATTAACAATGAATGGTAACATAATGACAGGTAGTACACGGATTCCAAATTTCAAAAATTTTCCAAATCCAGCTCCTGCAGCATTGAATTTATTAGTGTCTACAGAAAACTAGAAAATTCAAAATTAAATAAATAAACATAAAATATAATGCCTTAAAATATAATACTACCTGCAAGGTCACTCCAAGAGTAATAACAGTAACAATAGGCAATATAAAATATGGGTCACGCATAGTAATATCAGTAAACCACCAGAGACCACCATATTTAAAACTTTCTAGAGGTAACATTGACATATTTCTTAAACCCCAAAACATACTTAAAAATATAGGAAACTATAAAGCAAAATTTTTTAAAGTACAGATTACATAGTAGAATTTATATGCATTACATATGATATAAATATTAAATTAAAATTACTTGAACAACGGGTAGTAACATCATTCCTTTAAATGGATTAATTTGATGTGTTTTCATGAATAACATGAATTCAGTTGAAGTTCTTCCCACTAAAATTAAAATAAATTTCAAAAATTAAATTAAATTTATATTACTTATAAAAAATGTAATTAAATAAGTAATATTTATCATGCTATATAACAACAAATAAGTTTACTTTCAACATGATCTCCGCTTAATCGAGCTTCAGTTAACTTTTTTTGGTATGCTTGAATTTTTGGCAAATAATGATTCATCTTGACTGTATGGCGTTGTGATGAAATTGTTAAAGGAAAAACCAATAAACGTAATATGACAGTACCTGAAAATAAAATTATTATATTATTTAATTGAAAAATACTTTTTTTGACACTATACTGTTAGCTTAAACAGAATACTAAAAATTATAGTTTAACATTGTTAATAATGTGCACTTTATATTTTTCTGTAATGCCTTCATTATTAAATTATAAATATCAAATCTACACACGTGCTTGGAAAAAAGTAAATAATACATGTTCAACATTTTTAAATCTTAATACAGATTATATTCTATGATTATACAAATTAATCTGTTATATTAAGTTAGATCTTATAAAATAAATTAGCTCTGTTCAAAATTGATTTTTAAATAAAACACAAGTTTAATAAAATGTAATTATAATACAATTTAATAAATTTAATAATAATAGTAATAATTTGTAATAAAAATGTATATATAATACTAAATGCTTACCTCGCACCTGTTATAATAGCACCCCACCATGGTAAACCACAAGACACATGTAAAAATTCTAAAGCATTTTGTAACAATCCAACTGGAGTATATAATCCTAGACCAGCGCTCTGTAAAGTTTCTTCTCCCAATGCATTCTGAAAAAATAAAAATAATAGAATTATATACTTTCCAGCATAAGGTCGAAATTAAAGTATTGTACCAAAGATTTTTCAACAAGTTCATTAGCTGCTTCAACTGGTATTACTTCTGGTGGCTTGAGTATTATGTCTTCAGTCAAATCTAAAGGTTCATAGCCATTGTCAACAGCAGATGAAGATGGTTGTCCATAAATATCGCTACTGCTAAACCGCGTGAATGTAAAATTTGTTGCTGTCAATTGCCTAGGATATGATGCTGAAAACTTGTTCGGCAAAAGTGGAACTAATCTTTTGGAAACCGAAATTCGATGAAATTGGCGCTCTTGGCTGATCTACAGATACACTCAGTCAGACGAAAGAACTAATAACCTTTGCTAGACGATTGAGAAATCAATCAAAACTCACCACTTTGGACTGTTGGAGCAGCGTCGTGAACGTCGGATTTCTGTTCAGTAACTTGCTGTAGGCCATGTTTGCAGATTAGGAAGCAATCATGTCACAACACCCTTACGGGAGGATGGGAATGTCGGAACCGAACGAAATCGTAAGGGGAAAAATTAATATGAGTTTCGATCGAGTTAGCTGTTTTGGGGATAAAAAAGAAATTCAGATAGAAAAATACGGGCTATAACAAATAAGAGCTACCGAGTTAACCGTGAGAGCCGGCGACAGTGTTTTGACAATGTTCTGTGCTGATATCATAGAATAAGATCAAATAAGATTTGAGTTTTTTGCGCGAATCGTAGACACAATATTAACACAGACTTCTGTACTGTAGTAAGTATAGTTAGTATAGAAGTGGGTGAGTATGAACGTCCGCGGTGCTCGCGTTTAGAGCACAGATTACGATTACGCGGTTCTCGCGTGAACAGCCCACGCGGTATGGCCTGACTTTGACCTCTGCGTGTGTCTGCACGTCAAGGCAACGGTTTGCCGGCCTGTCCCTGTCCCGCACGCTGATAACATCGCCATTTGATATTGCGTGCTAGCGTTGATAACGACGGCGGCGGTGGCCCGTTCTCGTATTACACTTTACATTCGTTTCCATTATTTTTTCGTTTTTTCAATGTAACGTTTGTACACCACTGTTGGTGCTTAAGTACGAGCAGTACTCGTCCTACCGCGGTTCATTGACGTCGCGTTCCGCGCAAGGCCCCGCCGAACCGTGTCTTATCGCGCACGTGCCAATCCTGATCACTGGACACTGGATATCGTGCACGGGCCATCTCACACCATCCGTCGTTCCTAAATAGCAACAATAATTAATCGTACGTTCTACTTACGGATCTGTCTTGCGTGCATGTGCGCCAGTCCGTTTGCCCTCCTCGTCCACTTCGCGTAAAATGAGGTACAAACCTAGTGCCGCCGCGGTGCACACCGTTTGCTCGTGATCGCGATTCTAGCGTGTCGTACGACGCGGCTACACATATGACCGCTGTTGTGGTACACCGCACAGTTACTGTGTTACGACGATGGTCGATTCATTTGTTTGTTTGATTGTTAGTAGTCGACGTAAACGCCTGTCAGCGTCGTAACACAGTCTACTTCAACTGTTGGACGTCCTGTCGCACAAGAGTCTAACCAGATACGCACCTACGGAGTTCTCGGCTCAACCATATCCATTCCGTTGGTTAAAATCCCTAAAACTAACATCAGGTGAGACATGTCGTCATCTTAATTACAGAGTACTAAGGAGTAGGTATGAGGTCTTGAGTGCTTAGCCAACCCACATATATCACTACCATTTTTAAATAAAATATTTATATTTTTTGATAACATTATAATTGGGTCATAGCAAATCTCTCAAAATTTTACACTTAGTTGGACAGTTTGTCATAATTTACATATATTTCGTTTCTATTTGCTGATTTAAATGTTCGTTTAGTCTCGGGTGATAGTAATGTAAAACAGAATTATTTTTTAAATCTTTATAGCAAATATATGAATGAGTTATGCATTTAAAATTTTTCTAATTGGTTTCTTGAATGCAGCTAATTTAATTTTTTTGAAAGAAAATTCTTTGTTTTTAGTTCACATAAACATGAGAAAATTGCTTTCTTCAAGCTATACTATATTAGAATATATTACGTTGATACAATTTAAATGTTTCATGAAAAAAATGGTGTATGATATTTTTTTATAATTTTAATTTGATTAAATAACAATTAGTTTATTTAAAAATCAATTACAACGGTTAGTAATTGCTTTTCAGAATGGAAGCTGACTGTAGATCTACTTCAAATCAAAAAACTGATACAGCTAATATTCCAAATTATAATTGGAAAGATGTTACTCCTGAATTTTTTGCTTCTATTAAAGGTAATATGATATAAAATCATATATTTTAATCCTATTTCATTTATATTTAGTTTGATTGTTTTAAATTACTTAATCAATTATTATTTCTAAAATAACCACTAATTAAATTAGAAATGTGTTAATATTAAGTTCTTATTAGTTATGAAATTTGCATTAATGATTAGTTATGAAATATGCATCAATGATAATATTTTATTTTTTATGTATATGATTATATTACTTGGTAATTGATAAATATTGTTATATATTAACTATTCTTTTACAAAATGTAATTTATTAAAATTATCATTAAGATTAAATAAGGTGTTATATTTACTGATATAATATCCTTTAAAGTTTTTTTTTTTAATTTTTTTTATAATATACAATCTAAAGCATTTTAGTATAATAATTAATAAATATTACATCCCTTAAAATTATTCTTATCATTTTCTATAGTTTTATACTTAAAAAATAATATACCATTTTTATATTTTATTTTATGGAAAGTAATTTAATTAACGATTACATTTATATTTTTAAATTTTTATGAGTTAAATATAACTATGAAACTATAATTAAAGTTAACTATTATTTTGTCTATTTAAGAACTGGAACTTGGTGAACTTTTACATGGCTACTTTTTTGGCTTATTTGAAGCAATGTCTGCTATTGAAATCATGGATCCAAAAATGGATGCTGGCATGATGTGTAATCGAGAATCAAAAGCAATTAAAGTAAACTTTTCTATTATTATTTATCTACCAAATGATATTATTAATATATTAGTCTACCAAGCAACAAAAGTATATTTGAAGAAGCTAATTTCTATAGGTTGTTTATAATATCCTATTTGTTGTGAAAAAATAATACATTTTTTGATAAATTATTAGTATCTACAAAAAAATATTAATTTTTAAGCTCTGCCAGGTAATTTTATTGAAACCTGACACAAAATGATTGAATGGTCAAATGTGTAAAAAAAAAATGGTAGACTAATATCTTTTAGATAATAATTAAATTTATTCCTGTTTTAAAATCAAGTAAAATTACAGTTGGAAGATTTGAAATTAAATGGGCTAACTGTATCTGAACAAATATCAATTATAGATGTAACATTAGCTTGTATTGTATCCTGGCTTGAAGGTCATTCATTAGCACAAACTGTATTTACAAATTTATACTTTCAAAAGCCTTATGATATTGAAGTTGTTCCTTTGAAAGCATTTTGTATATGTGTCTACAAAATAATTGAAGCTATTAGAGATTTTGCTAACAGGTTAGTACAATTTGTTGTATTCTGATTGTAGCATATTATCTAAATATGTGTATATTTTACAATGTACAGAGCTCAGGTGTATGAAGAAGAAGACTTTCAACCTGCGCTTTATAACTATCATTATTTTAATGAAATTTCTGACCATCGTGTAATTGGTATGATGAGAGAAGTTGATGAGTCAATAAACCATATACTTAAATCAAATCCCAATAGTGATGAAGTACAGTAGATATGATACTTAAAATTAATTCCAATTAATTTGAAACATAATTATATTTTACAGAATGAATCTTATATTGCATTAAATACGCGTATTAAGTTTGTTAGACTTTTTCTTCAAATTTTACTTTCTTTTAATCGTCGTGAAAACCATTCAAGTTCAATGGGTGAGACTCAGAGATTATTGACAACTTGTGGATTATTAATTCCTTCTCTAATAAAGACTGTAGACAAAGGTGTTCCCAAAGTTGGCAGTAAGGGAACTATAAAGCATTATAAGTGAAACGATCATGTTTAATACTTTTATATTTTTCAGACTGGTATTATGATTTGGGTTTTGATCCTCTTATCAATCAAAAATTGTTACCACCTACTTTTCCTCGATATACTAATATTAAACCAGCTGCTGAAGCATATTTGTATTTTGATTCATTATTAACAAGACTGAAACAAATTTGTAAATTGACAAATTGTGTAACTTTTATTAGTGCTTTGGTTTGTTTTATTTATTTGATATGTCACGATTTACGGTACACGCTATAGTATAATTTATTTTCAAATACAACCAATGAATGATTTCTAGGAATGTTTTATTGAACTGGGACACAACAGTCACTTATGTATTGTTTCAAGATCAGTAATGCAAACACTTTATTTTCCACTACCTAACCGAGTGTTTGGTACACAGGATTTTGATGATTGTCTACGAGAATGGGCAAAATCGTTTATTGCCCCACCATCACTTATACCACGCTTAAATATTTTATCTAATTTTCAAGTAAAATTACAAATTTTTTTTTTACATAATTTTATTTAAAAAAAATTGTAAATGTTTGTTTTTTATTTTCAGGCTAAGGAATGTGTAAATAACTTTTTTGACCATTGCACTCGTCCATTTGCTGGGTTAATTCAAATTTGTGGTCATAATAAAGCTAGACAAAGAGATAAGTTAGCTCATCTTATGGAAGATTTTTCGGCATTACAGGACGAGGTAAACTTTTCTACTTATAATTTCAGTGTTATACTTTAATAATATACTTATTAGTAGAATTAATTTATTTTTTATGTTACCAGTCTCAGAGAGTAGATGCTTTTTTGCACACATTTTCATCGAAATTGGATCCTCCAAGAGAGCATTTGGCTAGTTATAGTACATGGATAATTTATCATACAATTAGAATAATGATTATGTACTTGTTATCTGGTTTTGAATTAGAACTTTATAGCCCACATGAATATCAGTACATATATTGGTAAATATTTAATTCAATTTATTTTTACATGATAATTAGAAGAATATAATTAATAAACTGTTTTAGGTATTTATATCAATTTCTATATGGTTGGTTAGTGTCTACTTTAAATAGAGCTGATAATGTGTTACTCGGAAGTGATTCTCCAGTTGATTCTCAGAAAAATAGAAATAAAAGAAATAAGCCTAAAAAAAAGAAAACACATCCGTACACCCAAGAAATTGTTATGTGCCATGCAATGCAAAGTTTAACCGGCGCTTATTTTAAGGTAACTAAAGGTTTTTAAATGAAAAAACATCATTTATCAATGTTAACTTTATTTTGACCATAAATCAAATTTTCAAGGTATTTTATCCTCAACTCAGAATAATATAATATTATTTTGAGTTTGTGTTCATATATTATATTTTGGAAAGTTTAATTATGTTTTAAAATTAAAGCACATGATGATTATAGTTATTGATTAATTTATAATCTATATTATTTTTAATTAAATGTAACAATCATTAAAGTCATGGTTAATTTAGAGCAGAGATAATAATTATGTTATAATCAAAATTAACCATTAATTTTGACATTGTGTGTTATATTATTTTGTTTATATAACTTATTTGATAGTTTTAATTATTATTTTGAATCATTTTAATGTGGATAAGTATATTAATAATATCTATTAACCACCTATTTTCACTTTTTTATGTATCAATGAGCATTAAAATAATTAAAGAATTTCATATTTTTTATAATTTGTATGATTATATTGTTATAGACTTTGATAGGCTTTCAATTAGAAGGTAAAATTCGAACACCAAAACATGCCAAATTTGACAACGAAAGAGTTCGCTATGAACATCGATTTGCTGCATTCTCTGCAGTAGCTGTGCCACCACCATTTTCTTATAATGAATTTCAAATGACCAGATGCCAAACCCGCGATAGTGCGTCTGGAGATCCCAGGATGTTATACATGAATAGCTGTGAATTGTTTCATCAAGCAAGGTGTCTTTTAGATAGCATTCCTCAACCGCACTCACAACAAGTAAATCCTGAAGTTTATGTATTGTCTTTCATTAAATAAACAAAATCTTATTATTTTCTAGGTACTTGATTTAATTAAAGTCTGCAAAACAAATTTTGTAACTATGAAATTATTAGCTAGTGGATATATGAGAGGACCAGATGTGTCGTTAGACTTTGACTTTACGACCAATTCTTACTTTCCTATATTGAAACTTAGCTAATTAGTAATAATAGTCCAAAATAATAGAAAATTAATGTTTTAAAGACTGTTTAAACCTAAAATAATTCAATGAAAAATTATAATCATTACAAATGCTTGTGGCAATTGTTTTTTTTTTTATTTGTTGTGTTGTGATGTAAAAAAAAGTTAAATTCATTTTAACTTATTTATGAGTTGATTATATATGAATAATAACTGCTATATTTAAAAAGTATAAAACAAACAAAATGATAATTTCTTTTTTATGTATTTGTTATTTTAATTGGTTATATAGCTTTAAAATCTTAGAACTATTATTAAAACAGTTCCATCGAACAATAACTATTTTTCAAATTTTTATGAAATAATAATTAAAATAATTTTTTAGATTTTCTTTTAAATTATTATTTGTTTTTTTAATTACAAGTTTAACTTTTTATTATTTTATATATTTTCACTAAAATATAGACAATAACTTTAGTTTTATCAATTTTGCTCTTTAAATGTGGTCTAAGTCAAAACATATGTCTTATAATATTATTATATTATTGTATATAAACGTTATTGGTGTTATTTAAATTATAAGAAAACTACAAAATGTGGTGTATTATTTATCAAAACATTTTGAAAAATATATATATATATATATATATATTTTTTTTTTTTGGTAACAGTATGAAACAATATATTATTTAGAACTGTGGGATGCAACTTTCTTTGATCGACGACCTTCAAATTAATTTATTTTGTTGAGGCCATGTAAATGTATGAAATATACTTAATGAATAAAAAAATTTTATTCGTATAAATTAAATTGTTAATTTTAGGCAATTTTAATATTTTTTAAATTTAATTAATCCAAACTACAAAAAAAATATATATATATATATAAAATCGGAGTGTTATAAAATATATGTATAAAGTTATATAAAAAATTACTTTTTCATTTGGTGTTAAATTATAGACGACCCTGAAGTTGTGCACTACTGATTTAAAAAGGAAAAACATATCGATGAATAGAAGAAAACATATAATCAATGAAGTATAACAATGGTGGCGCCTATTCCCATCGCTTACTGCAGCGGTATTTCAAAATACATCAGGCATTAGGTAAATGACTTATGTGGAAATATTAGTACAGAACTACAGTGATAACTATAATTTAAAATCGTAGTTGCTCAACGCTCATTATTGTAACTGAAAATATTGAACTAATACAGTTCACCTGCTTGCATACTACGTACATTTGACGGGATAAATGTGAACATAATAATGTTATAACTGTAAAATTTCTAAAGATATTCGGAAAAAAATTAATACACACAGTTGCTGCACTGTTTAACCGATACAGGTGAACCTAATCACCGTTGACGTCTCTGTCGTCGGTTTTGTATCCTCACGATCTATTTGCTTATGAAGGCCTCGTAACTGAAACCATTAGCACGTCATGTGGGTTCGGCAGAGCGGTGGTACACGTTCACGTTGGCCAGTGGCGGTTTCTTCTCTGTTTGAACGGGCGCGACTGTATGCCCAAGCCCAGCCGCCTTATCCGTTCGGCCTCAACACCCCCATATTATTAACTATATGTTCTTATCATGTTCCTGTTCACCTGTGCTATACGTGTACACACCCCGTATACGGGTTTTCGAACGACGGTATTCACTGGAACAACAAGAAGGATATTATAACTGATAGAAAATATATGATGACAGCGACGAAGCATGTTTCAAACCCTAACCAAAGTATTTATACAGTGGTGTAAGCAATCACCAAAAATTTTATCTATCTGTATCTCAATTTTTTTTTTCTTGTACTATCTCTAGAAAGCCGCTTACAATTTATTTTACTGATTTTACCTTGTACAAATTATAGAAAAACATAGTTAATATAGTTCGTGATTTTTAATCTGCCATTTCGCGTCTTCAAAATAAACCATTTTTTTTCATTACGAAGAATTCGTAAAAACCTCAGAAAAATGTCGAGGGGTTACAACCCCCAAACTCCTCCTCTAGTTACGCCACTGTATGTGTTTGATAAAACTGATCAGAATATTCACTCTGTAAATGAACTAAATTTATTCCGACGGAAATAATCTTTGCAATTAGAACATTTTTCAAAATCAAGTAACCCCATACATTTTAAACTGTGTCTGCCATCGTGTATCTTATGCATACCGTACCGGCCGACGGAATCGCGACCGATCGGTTCATCTTCGGATGGACACATGGATGAAGAAAGTGGGTATCATCGTAGGGGATGTTTACGCACATACCATAGATTCTCGAAGACTCTCAGAGACAAGGCTGCGGCCTGCCGAATCGCCTTGTTTCTGGTACGTTTGGTAAAATTCTTTCCGTCCATACTTGTTGATTTTTTTTCTTTCGGTTCGGTTTAGTCAAAACTGAAAAATTGTTGGACGACGTTTTAATTTTAACGGGATTCACTAAACGTCTGTCGTTGGTTTCTTTTCGGATATTATTCCATCGCTATATAAGCCATGTCGGGGATGCGTCACGTATTATTTGTCATATATAAGACAAGTGTCGCACGAGACTGCGCTTTTGCCAATAGTTTTCGGCCAACATCAAATTAATAACAAATTATACGTTTTAATCGTGGTTGTAAAATCTAAAATATGGTACTGCGTTGTAGCAAAAAAAGCTCAAGTGCCCATCGTATTTTACCCCGTAAAATCGAGTACATGTAATCGCTCTACACTAATTGGGTCCCAATACCAGGACGAGAGGAGAAAAAATATACTAATTCAGTCCTGGGTACAAACTAAGATGTATATTAATTGAGTTCACGGTTGGAAAACTAAAATTTTCATAATTGAGTCCGAGGATTGTTTTGAGTGAAATATAAAATCGACCAGGTACGTGCAGACACAGCGGAAGTTTTAAAGCCGTTCGGCATTAAAAGATATGTTTTTGTCACATTTATGCCGCACCGCGCATCAAAATCCGTTCCGTCTGAATAGGCATGGATACTGCTGTATAATTTTTATAGCTTTCATCAGCTAATACGATAACGTATTATTTAGACGGGAAACGTTTTTTCATTATATTATACACTCTAGTTTATGAGGTACAACAAGCATCGCGGATCATGTTAAGTAGTGCTCGATTTGAGAGGAGACGGAGTACCCCAACTAATTTTCAGAAATTTCAACGTTCCCCTACTATTATTATGTTATAATTATAACGCTTAACAAGTTTTTGGGACAATCTTTTTTTTAAAGTAAATAGAGTCCCCCTACTTCAATTTTTCCAAATCGAGCATTGATGTTAAGTGAAAGAATTGAAAGTATTTTTTCGATCGACGGATACAAATTTCGTTAAATTATTTCATAAACATTTATCAAAAAATCAGCAACGCTGGAATTGTTGCAAAAATAACGCGACGTTTGATGTGGCAAGTCATGTAGCAAACACTTAACAACAAAATGACGTTTGGTGTGACATAACGCCTACCTACGAGTATGTATCTAGTAGCACTAGTAGCATCAGTAATCAGTATGTCTTTTTCTTCATAGGACGACGAAAGTGTTATGACATCAGTGAATTTAATCAATGTTTAATAACGCAAATACCCCTACTATTTTTTTCAGGACTAGCTCAGTATATGTATATTTATTTATACACTTACACACACACACACTTCTTGCATCAACGAGATTAAGCGTTTAGCGGATAGAATGGACCGTCAAGATTAGCAATTAGGACGATAAATTTTACGCTTATCAATCCATTATATAAAAAAGTTATAATTACACAAAATAATATCACACTATTAATAGGAGCATATTAATTGTTTGATATATTATGCATATCGAAGTACCTCTGTATTATAAAATCATTAAAATTATACCTAAACTTCAGTGAACTGCATTGTTGTATAAGTGTCTAATAACAATAATGGATTTCATGACCCATGAAAGAACACATAATGCGGAAAAAAACTGTGTACATTTGTTTTATTCCTAATCAAATATGCATATACGTGAGATTTAACATTTTTAATGTCTATAATATAATGCTATCGTGTACATTTACTATCGTAAGTACCTACTCCAAAGTGACACAATTGCCAATTATTTTGCATATTATGTTTAAACCATGATTATTTAATAATTTATTTTGATTTTCTAACGAAACAATTATATATTATGCAATTGCGGATTATTAAAAGGAATAAAAAATTACACCGAATATTTATTCATCTTAAATCACGCAAAAACGATTCATAAACAAAACAAAATTAGATAATTTTACCGTAGGTATATGATTTTTGTTTGGAGATTCAAGAAATTAATAGATCAAATGTAATCGGTCGATAAGGTTAACCCGCGAGCACGAAAAGCGGTTTCCTGCGGACTGCCTTCTGTATAAAGCACAGGTTACCAAAGTGATCTATATCGACCCTCAGGGGTCGATTCTAACCTATAAGGGGTGTACGTCAACGAAAAAGAAAATTGAGGGTGCATCATGTGTAAATAAGGGCCCACATGAGTTATAAGTCTAAAATGTGTGGGAGGAGAACTTATAAGAGGAACTGATCGGAATAAGTACTAATGATAAACTTAAGGTACATTTAGAAATGGGTATCAGCAATTCTGCCTTCAGAGGGACATACCTGTTACTTATCCTTCTTTATGGAGTATCGCAAGAAAGTTTTTGATTGATTTTCCGTCATCATACTGCGTGGAAAGGGGTTTCAGTACAGTTGTCAATCTTCTTACAAAAAAAAGTAATAGATTGGAAATCACTGATAGAGGAGATTTGAGGTTAAACTTGACTAATTTTAAGACAAATATTGAAAATTTACTATCAAAGAATCAGGCTCATTCTTCCCATGAATGATATTTTTTTTTAACACCAACTTTGATTTTTTTTCTATTAATTCTATTTAATTAATTTGCATTTCTTATCTTTTTAATTATTAAAAATATATTTAAATATTTTCATTAAAAGTATTATTAAAAATAACACATTTTTTATTTTAAAAAAAATGCACTCCATCGTAAAGCCTATTTAGGTGAGCAGTTCCGTGTAAGTTATGAAAAACACCTAGATGAATTCGTCAAAATTTAATT